CCCCCCCCCAAAAAAAAAACACTCACACACACACATAAACATACTAATAAAAGCAATTTTGCGGGCTCTGTATGACTTAATGTTATTGGCGGGCTAATATTAGGGGGAAGCGATTACCACTGGCATTGCTACTTTTTCTACGCTTTGTCAGCCTCTGCTTCTCCGTTCCAACTCGCTTCCTCTATTGAGCTTTTTCTTAACCCACGAGGGCTGGCTGTCTTGTCGCCCGGTGGCTTCACAAACTCCAGAACTTTCGGCGAGAAGACCCATTAATGCGAATCATCATGGGTCCCGACACTTCTGACAGCAAGACATGCGTGCCAGCTCACAAACCTGTACACCATGCGTTCATTCGATAAGTTCGATACAAAAGTACCAGTGAAGCTGAAGAAGCAAGCACAGTCCAGCTCCCAACTTTTGAGTTGCTGGCCACAAGAGCACCAGCCCAGAAAGGTCCAGGAGTCCAGATCTGCAGCAGTGTTGGTTCAAAAAGTTTCGCAACCCAGCACAGCATGCACAGCCTGTACAGATTGTCGAGAATTCTCCTGAAGTATCACGAGCAACTGGCCGCTATACGGCAACCAGGGTCTAAGAGTTCAAAGTGCTTTGCATCCACAGGCCACTGCGGCAAACAAATCCTCCGAACCACCTTTGCCATCCTTTGCCTGTAATGCCTGTGAAGCTGTCTTCCTTTTCTCGGTGATACTTGCCTCTTTAAGCAGCAACAACAGCAGCAGCTGCAGCTGCAGCTGCTGCAGGTCAGTAACAGGAGCGAGAAGAAGAAAAAAGATACAACAGAAGCCAAAACCACAACAACGACCTCATCGCCAAATCCTCCAACGGCTATATCTCTATCTCTGTCGCGCGGAATTTCTAATTTCGCACATGCTCCCAACTTGGACCCCATACTTATCCTTCAGGGATGGTAGATCTGTGCCATCGAAAGCTTCTTCTGGGGCCAGCCACTTGCCCCCTGGAACGCCTCCTTGTGTCGAGGGCCTTTCCAGGCCGCTATGCTGTGAAAGACCTGATCACAAGCACCAGCAGTTTACGAATCTTAGCCTGAAGGAGAAGGGACATGAGCTTGTACTGTAGAGAGTTTGCTGGCTACAGTTGAGGGTGGAGTCCACATGGTTTAGCTACAGAAGTCTGTCTGGCTAGAGCAGGTCTGGCAAAGGAAGCAAGCGAGGGATGCCCAACAATGCCTCCTCCGCCAACCATTCCACCTCTGCCTCCTTCTGCAGGATGTATTCGCCGTGGCTCCTACAAAGCACTTCCCACAACACCTGCTCTGGTTATGTCAAGGCTCGGCATTGTCTTGCACGTCCAGTCTCTGAAGCTGGCGGGAGCGATTTCTGGAGTGGGCTAATCAAGGCTGCGTTGCACACTGAACCTAAACCTCATTCAAGTGCCGGCAAGGCACTCCACAGGCGTATCATCATGCAGGCATTCGTCGGGCTCACTGTCGGATGGTATCATGTAATCCTTGGGTAGGCCTATCCTATGACCGTACTATGAGGGCATAGAAGGCAACATGCTGCTGATGCCAGAATCTCGCAGGCTTGATCTTGGATTCCTGCCAGCTCTTCGCTCGAAAGGCTGGAAATCAGGACCTCGCACGGGTGGCATGCAGCAGACGGCATTGCGAGGAGTTTGATGAAACGTGTTGAACTTCTCCATCATCCTCACATCAATAAACAAGCCCTTGTGCCCGAATGCCCTGCGAATGCCCAGCCTGCAGCTGTGGCCACAGGTGCACCACAAAGAGCAGGACGATCCCTGCGTTTGCTGTCACGGCTGCAAAGAGCCACCACTTGGCCTTAGCAGGAACCCGGTCCAAATCAAATCTTGTTGGAGTCACCCTGGGAAGAGGAAAATGGAATTGCTGGTGAATTACACTGGCCGAACCTAGCAATCAAGGATTTGTACGCTCGGCAGGGATGACAAGGAACTCTCACGTCTTAGATAGCTGCTACAACGATCTGATCAGCAACTTAGCTTGAAGTTTCCAGTAGTCACTAGTCCTCAGGCGCTGCCAGATGTCAACAGGCTGTAGTTGTCTTGACAGAAGTACTGTTGGGGCAAAGTTCAGCTCCTTTGTACCCAAGATTCATTCGAATGCCTGTACAGTCGGCTTGCTCGATCTCTGTAACCATGACAAGGCAAATACTGAATCTATTCCAGTCATGCCTCCCGCTACTAGACATTCAACCACCCAGAAGGCTGCTCGGCAACAGGAGGACTTGTGCGGGCAAACATGTTCTAAGCCGCATCCATAAAGCTTGCGTGGTATGCAAACACAGCTGCTCGTCTCATCGCAGAGCAACAGCTGCTGGCCACAGTTGCATGGCTGCATTGACATTACTCGCACACATCTGCATGCCCATGTCAAATTATGTCAAATTGTATGCCAGGAAACCACACAATTGTTTTGCTTTTCAATAGCTTGGGTTTACAGTTTCGGCACTTGAGGCTTGCAGTTCTGCTTCTCCTAGACACGCAGACAATGCAAGCCAACCCCAACCAAGTGATACGCCAAGTACCTGCTTTCCTTGCAGTCCATGTTCAAGAACCTTGCTCCTGCTACGCCTTGCTGCTGCAGTTTCTTCTTCTAGGGCTTTCAAGCCTGTGGGCGTCAAAGGGCGGGAGTTCCAAAAGCTAACACGGCAGAGTTTGCAGACCTGTTGCTAAAACGCTGAAGATTCACAGGCTTTCGACCGACGGGCAAGAGTTCTCTGCTTGCGGTATGCTCCGCGCTGCAAAGCCTTCCCAGGAAAATGAGGGAAGCGGCTGCCCTCGATGAGCTTCTGCGTCTCTTGGTCAGCTTGCCATGATCTCGAAGATTCATCGAGACACAGCAGCGCGTTCTTCCCAGTGGGGGCCAGGGGCATCTCTTCAAATGAGACGCCCAATGCTCGAGACAATTGGCATTGCATTACAACGGGGTTTGCTGCTTGCCAAACACTTGAAGCATCTTGAAGCCGTTTCAAACACTTTAACGACCCAGAGGCACCGGCTGTCAGATCTTTGACAAGGGAATGGAAATTGCTCCCTAGTCGCAAGGGAGTAGGTGACCTCGGTCTTGAAGTCTCGAGGAAGCATGCGATGCAGAGCTCAATCTAAGCATGTTATGTTCAAGGATGTTCAAGGGTTCAAGTGTTTGGAAAAGCTAGACTTGAAGCTCCCTTCAGGAAGCTCATGCACGACCTGTCTGCATTACTGTCGTGAGTTCCAAACAAGTGCCGACAGCTTGCGCCTACACTAAAATAGCAGCCAACATCAAGAAACAGCAACTCACTGAAGGGCCTGACTCAAAAATTCTCATGAGTCAGGGGTCAGCCTGTAGAGCTTTCTATCTGCCAGAATTAGCTGCAGCTGTCCGATCCTTAAAACACCCTTCCGCGAATTGTCATGAGCTACTGGCAACACCTACCGCGAAACTAAACAGAGAGCTAACTTCTTCTCGATGCACGACAGCCCATGCAGTGCAGGGTCCATCCCCTGGGATCTGGGCGCTGGACGCAAGGACATGTGCTTCTTTTTAGAATAGGTCTTGAATTTGTTGGTGGTTGTGTTGTCCAAATGCTCGCGCTAGTGGGCTGCATTTTGCAGGGGTTGCACAAGCACATTCTACACAAGACGCCATCGGGCACAGGCTTGCAACGGCAGTTGTGTCGAGTGCTCGTGGCCTTGAGTGGTGTTACAGTATGATGTGAAGGGTGCAACTAGGACGTCACAGAAAATGGATGCTATTGCTGCTACAACCAGTGCTGCTGATGCAGACGCCGCTGCTGCGGGTGCGACCGGTGTCAATACTGGAAATTGCCTGTGCCGGGCTGCTTCTTCTGCCAAAACGGCTCGGGGCTTGTTCTTGGGGTGATGTTCTTATCCGTAAAAGCCCTGCGTCACACTATTGCCTTGAACAGTGGTGGCTTGAGAGCGCTTAGTGTGATAAAGGAGGAGGCTGCGTTCAGGGTACCTACGAAACATGCTGCATCACAAATGACTGGCTAGCAACAGAACTTGACCTCCATCGCCGGACGTATGGAATCCTTCAGAGACTCCTTTCTAGGAGTGCATGTGTTTGTGTGCGTGCGCTGCCCGCCAGCCTTGCTTTCATTCAGTTGCTCGCAGATGGCCTAGCATGGTGACAGCTCATGCGGGAGTATGCGGAGCTTGCGCAATTAGATCAGGAAACGAAATAGATATTTGTATTCAACCTTCAAACTGTTTCTGCTCAAACTTACAGATTGATTGCAGCGGGTACACACTTCACGCATCCAGGAAGACAGAACTAAGGTCGTGATGCTTCAGTTCATCAGAAGCATGGACAAATAGGCCGACGGTCCCCAAGTCAGATGCAGAACACATGCCAGAATGACTCCAGCTCAAGGTGTTCCTGGGCAGCCTCCAAGGCCAAAGGGTTCGACAGAGCTACGGTCTTCTAGAAATCAAGTAGGGTTTGTCTGTAAGCATCCACATCGTCTTTGGCGTCCACACCACATGCTTGACAAAGGGCATTGCAGCAATGATCAATTTTGAGCGACCGGCAGTGACGACATATGAACTTCAACATGTTCAAAACAGCACGGTGGACGTGCGAACACCTGTGCGTTGTGGTGGAGCATACTGCTCTCCTGCTGTGCAGTAGTTGGGTCCACGATGACCTATCTGATGTCGGAATCCGAAACTTCTAGCTTTTGATGCTCTGAGGGCAGCCGGCTTGGGCGTAAGAATGTGCGAGATGGCAGGCGCAGCCCTCTGAAACTGAGACTGGTACATACTGGTACACCCACCGCCTCCCTTTCTCAGAAGACCCACATGGTGACAGCTGGTGACAGATGGATGATCTTGGTCTGTGAAGCTCCTTTTGGAGGCGCCATCCAGGCATCTGAGCTTCTTGAAATTTATGCCTTTTGTTCTTCTCAGCGGAGAACGTGCCTCCAAGTCATGCCGTGATGGCCAGAAGCGCCAGTCCTACGGGAGCTTTGAAAATGGTTCTCTTGGGTTGGTGGCTGATAGTTAGCCAGACACACAGGCGCTCTTCCAGGGAATCCCCATGCAGAGCATGCTATCTTGAAGCCACAAGATTGCCGAAGCAAGCGCTGTATAATCACCCCATACAACTCTGCCGTCAGAAGTTGACAAGTTTTCCCTTGTCACAGAAACAGATGTTTGTGAGTCTGGCAGTCAGGCAGGTCGACATACAGAGACATCGCAGAAACAATTTTGAAACACACCCATGTAGTCGTCGGAAGACCCAAACTTGAATTTGGCACCCTGAGCTTGGCTACTGAAAGATGTGGAGGCGTTCTGGGACCTTATGCAGCCACAAACAGTGCAAGGAAGCCTTCTGCATTCTACTAATCGTTGCAACTTGAGGTCATTCACAAGCTCAACGCTCTTGCCCAAGGATGAAATCGTCATGTTCTTCAGTCAACTTCCGCAAGCCCAGCAATGAAAGCAGTTCCATCTCAAGTACACCTCAAGTGGCCAGACACCCAAAGCACAAAAAGAGACATCCTTTGCAAGAGCACTTGAATCCCAATACAAGGCAAGAAGCCGCCCCACTTACTCGGTTGTCATGTGCATGGCTTTCATGACGCCTCCGGGTATATGAGTGGAAACATGCCCAAGATGCAGCCCAAGGTAATTCCTGAGATCTCAGAGCCGTTTGGGCAGCTAAACCAGGGCTGTGGTTGAGCTTTGGATCTGAGGCCTGCTCGCACAGATTCTTCATCTAAGTCTACCTGTGGGATCCATCCCCGTGCAGTCTGTGCACTTGGCAAAGGAAGGTAAAGGAAGCGATGCCAATACACAGCCCAACCAAGGTGGTATAAATTGAATCCAGAAAATAGTCCTCCCAACACATGCACAATCGGCAGCCACAATACAGCTCTTGTGCAGCCACTGGCGCCAGCAATCATGGACGAGTTCTTGACGATGCGGACGAGGAGCAGCTCCCTGGGGGATGCAGGGTCTTGTGAAACCGAAGCATGTCACACCTTTCTCGGAGCAATAGCCGCATAACCCCTCTGAGAGCGCATAGACTACCCCTACAACGATTTCGCAATGAAGCTGCTGCTCGCTTATCGCTGCTCCCCAAGGCTCCGGCATCTGCCCGCTGGTCAAGTTATGGTGCGGCACACCAGTCCTTAAGGTCAAGTTCCCCCACAGCACCCGCGGCACCCTCGGCCCAGCCCTACCTGGACTGCGAATTGCTGAATTGGGCCTTCAGCAATCTTCAGCAGGGTTAGCACGCGAAACCTAGGAGATCAAGTGAAACCTGTTTGCTAGCATGCTTCTCCTCACCCTCAACAGATCGAAGTTTGGTAGCACGTTCCACTCCTAGAACATGTTGCTGAGCAGGCAGCTTCTGCCGCGGAACTGGGGCGGCCACTTGCCCACAAAGGTCTCAATGAAGCCAGAGATCCACAGCCCAATAACGTCACTGGCGGCAAAGCAGACTTTAGATCAATTTGATCAGAATTCTTGCGTTTTGTTGGCAGAGCCCTGCGAAATCCAGCCAAGTTTGGGGTGTCTTGCATGCCTGCCCACACTCGAGATAGAAAATGGCCTGAAAGTGTTTCCCCATGCCGCAGCTGCCATCGTGCTGAGCCCAAGGGCTACCCCGAGCTTAGCGTCGATGTAATCACCTTTGCATAGCGAAGGCGAGCACTGGCATGTATGACAGATGGCCCGCCCTCCTGAATGGAAGCATAGATTTTCCCTGGGATTAAGAATGACCGTGAAGTTTCTGAGCAAGTATTTCATCTTGGAGGCTACCGATGATATGCTTAGCCCAACTGGCGAGTGGGAGGAAATTTAACCTTCCGGCAGGCACCGCATGGCTCTCACGTCCTGGCTCCGAGTGCAGCACCGGCGAGGATCATGATCTTAGCGCAGGGTTCCCCCTTAAGCACATACTGCAAAACAAAGTCCTTGACACTGGAAACAATCGAGGAACATCTCTTTACTCAGCTGAACTCTGTCTCACCTACTGGACCAAGACTGCAGCCTGCTGATCAAGCATAGAGGCTGAATAAGCATCCGCAGAGTCGTGCACTGCAAAAGCTATGCACGGCTGCAATCAGAGCATTGCAACTACCAGTAGACTGTTGGGCCTAGGAATTGGCTTCACGCTCACTTCGAGGCCGCCGCTGCATTATCACAGAAGCCGAAGCCGATGAAGGGGATGAAGTTGTGCAGGAAATAGAGCTGGAAGTGCGGAATTGATGCTTGCAGCTCACCGTTGGTGCTTTGCACAAGCTTGCATTGAAGCCTGTAGGGTGTGAGGGTTAGCTTGCAAGCGGATATGGGCCAGGATCTGGATCTGCTTGAAGGGGGCAAGTGGGTTTGCAGTTCAGGGTCGAAATTGATCGGGCGCAGGGCGCAGGTTTAGCACAGAGGATGGGATTTAATCGACAGGTCGGTGATGAAGACACGACTCCACCGTCCAGACCAGAACACACACCCTACATCATCCTACACCCTTGACGCGGCGACCTGCAGCTGGTTCGCTGTCGGACGAGAAGCCTGCAACAGATCATGTTCATACTTTTCAATTTGATGAATGCGGTTTGGACACATCCTCGCCAGGATCTCCGCTTCTCGGTAGGTTGCAGGCGCATTTTCTCTGTGCCCACTGGGTTGTCAAGCTAGAGAATAGAACACATTGTTTCATATCATGACAACTGCGCCCGCACACATTTTGCAGATCGTGCGCTGTCATGGCCCCGCTCGTCTAAATGAGAGGCAAGCCTAATAGCCCTAGCAGGCTCAAGGTATGCCTTGACATCCTTACAATCACATCAATCCACCGAATAAACATGCTGCACCCCCCTGCATACTTGCGGGTCGTGCCCAATATGGGGCTAGCTTTTCAAAAATGTGTTCCCGTTGTGCTAGCATGTTCATGCTGCTGAGTTACAATCGTCCAGCGCTGCAACAAAAAAAGAAGAATACAAGCTGCGCTCCTCTGCTGAGTCAGAGTCAGCAGCCGCCGCCCTCAGCTAGTAGCTTCCGGGAGCGGAGGCAAGAACAAATCGAAGTTGTTTCGAGAAGGGTAGTTTCAGTGGTGTGCCCTCCTTTGGGGATCATTGCGCGAAGAGCTCTCCATATGTTGTCAGGAGAACAGGCTGCTGCAAACTTCTTCACCATGTCGCTGACCAACGCAAATTCGTGCTGGAGCTAGTGGAATACGACTCAAGGTCTTCTTACGGAATTTAGGGTCTCCAAACTCATAGCTCGACCTTTTGTTGGTTCTGCTATACTTTCTGCGGTCTAAGGCTGGACCCTCAAGTGCTTCTTCAATCCAAATCTGATCCACAGCCCTCCAGGAAGGCCTCCATGCAGCTGGAAGTCAAAAGATGTAAGTTAGTACTGGTTTACCCTCACATAGATGGCATGCAACTGAGGTAGCAGTTCTTTGGTTATGCCAATGCTCAATCGTTATGTTTGGCTCAAGCAACCCTTAAGCCGTAGAAGCTATGGGATCTATATATATAGCCGTTGTCATTCGCAGTTGACCAGCGGTACTCACCTTGCCGAGCATTGAGACAGAAGAGGTAAAACAGAGGATCACAAGCTTTGGGTCTGCCTGGTTTGCAAGCGTGTTACACAATCGGCCAGTCACCCTTTTGCAGGTTAGCAGCTGTAGGAGCTGCAAGCTTGGTCATATTCTGTCAATCGAAGGGAGCTCAGGAGTAGTTCTAGTTTGGTCAGGAGGAAGGGATCTACAAATGTAGAATTTGATGATTCTGATCTTCACGCTACTTGGAGTATTGGCAACGCTGGCTTGGTTCGCCCACCAGTAGATATACGGCAAGAGGGCAGTGGTGGCATGAATCTTGAGCAGGCTATCTCATTGCTAAAAGCTGAAAGGGAAGCTTGCATGGAACTCCAGAACCAGGCATTTGCGGACACGGCTGCCCTCAGGGTACACCTAGAGAATGAAGAACAGCAGTGTAGAGGAGCAGCTGAGCGCATACACCAATTGGATCGCTGGAGAGCAATTTCGGAACTTCAAGCGCAACAGTTGAACATGAGATATCAAGATGACATGCGAGAAAAGGGTTCCGTAATTGCTGGTCTAAAAGAAAGGGCCGTAGTCCGTGATCAGCACTTGGTTTTAGTTGAGGCAGAATGTCGTGGGCTGCAAGAAAGACTAAAACATGACGAATCAGCTGTTGGACAATTGAGAGGTTCTGTTGCGAGCTCTGAGGCAGCGAGCACTGAGTTGGTTGAGAGATTGAACACCCACTAATGCCAGACTTGATGCCCTGAGGGAACAATCGAAGCATCAGGTGCGAGATGAATTGCACCAAGCAGTTTCCGGTTTTCGGGCCTCAGAGATGGAATCAGAGAGTGAGCAGCTCAGGGTTTTCCTTCTCAGCGCACAGGAACTCGCAGGTGTCGAACAGCAGGTAGGAGAGCAAGCTGCGTTGGTTTCACATGCGGAACATCGTGTCAATGAAGAGCATGCAGCCATCTATCATCATAAGCAGGTACAAGATCAAGAAGTTCAGCAGGAGCTAGAAAGATTGAGGAACGAGTGCACAAAGAATCGCATAGAATTCCTTGATGCCACTAAGGACGCTGGGGTTTTGAGGAGAGAGCTCATGAGAAAGGATGAACAAATCCAGCAGTTACAATAATCTCTTGAGCAGACCAACAGCGCACCCTCGAATAGTTCCTGGCAAGCTGTCAATTCCCCTGAAGAAAAGCGAAAAGAAGAAGTTGCGTGATGCAGTGGATCAACTTCAGAGCTCATACACCGCCTTGGAGGGTCAAAACCGGTTGCATTCAGACAAGTTGGGTGATCAAGAATCCTTCGTGGAACATTGAACTCAGCGCTACTCCAAAAGGACGAGGATGTCGAGGCCAAGACAAAGGAGTCCCAGAGGGCTTCCGCAGCTGCCTCCTCTAAAGGGAGTACTTGGGGTAATCCTGATCAAGATTTACTGAGTGGGGGTTCTGTGTTTCACACCAAGTCTGCAACTAATTCGACCTCAGCTATGGTGGGAGCTCCATTGTTCGACTAAAAGTTTTAGACCAAATCTT